TAAAACAATGTGTAAACTCCACTTTCGGGAGAGTTATCGGATGATCGTTGAAATTCTACTAATTCTTAATATCTCGTGTGCGATCGGATATCGCTTAGCTTTCCATAATGTTTTTAGCTTTAAGAAACGAGAAAAGGTCGGGGCGACAAACCCGGGCTGTATTTGTCGATGATGGGGAGTAAGAGTCGATGATGGAGATAGTAACTCGGTTGATTTCATCAAACAGCTGACAGAACTAATTTCAACTCGGAAACTCAAAAGGGTAATTTGCAGTTCAAGCCCCACGCTCAGTTTGTAATAAAAAATTTCCCGAATAGTTCCATTTAGGTATAAATGTACATGCTTAATTCGAAAAATAACAAAGAAATTTTGATAAAATCTACCGTTTTGGAGTTATCGACAATAAAAGTTCGGAAGTCGAAATTAATTCTGCAACCTTATCAAATCCAGGCATCAGAGGCCATTGTGAATGCATTGATTACACTTTATAATATGATCAGATCATGACGTCTCGCTACCGGTCGAGTTACACCACAGAATGATCTATGTTCGCACATGCGCAGTAAGATACTTTTTTTGCAGGACTGCCAATCAGAATAGCTATATCATTTCTGCTTTTATATAATCTTCCGTGCCGGCATACTGACGTTATATTAAGAGGGCAGGGCATGAGATGTACAACTTTATATTTATCTTCAGTTATGTGCCATACGTGATAAATGCTTAGGCGATCATGTATCTTTCGATACATGACTGACAAGGCAGATTTTTTTCCCCTGCGTTATGATGTCATTTCTTTCTGCGGTAGACCAGTTGCTATCCAAGGCTATAGGACCGGTCTGTCCTGCTATTTACCCATAACTGGGAAGAAGAAGAAGATTCATACCCTTCCCGAGGGTATTAGCACGTAAGTAGGCACTGTGGAGTAATAGAGAGCGGATTTAAGAATCGGAGAGCCGAGTTCGAATTAAAGTCGAATCCATTACATTCACTCTTCTTCTTCTACCACCAGCTATAAGTAAATAGCAGGACAGACCGGGGTTCTGTAGCCTTGGATGGCAACTGGTCTACCGCAGAAAGTAAGGGCAAACTACTGCTGGGGAAAGATCTACCTCGTCATGTAGCGATTTTCCAAGCGTAGCTTAGATATGGCACAAAGCCGAAAGTATGGGGCACCAAATGAAGATCGAACTCACTACTCATTCGTAATTGTGCTAGTGAGACAAGCTTGCTAACCATTACACCGCCCCAAGGTGCCCAACCTCGTCAGTCATGTATCGAAAGATATCAGTCAGTTATGGGCCTAAGCGTGTATCATGAAATGGTAGATATCTAACTGATATTTGGAAACATGTTGAAATTTTACATCACGTTATGAGGCATCAATAAATTATTGATATTTTATACTTGTAAGCTTTTATCCATATCATCGATTTAAATGGAGGTCATTTTACCTGCTTTCAGGTTTTTTTCCCGTTTCATTTTAAAATATGTTTTTTCAAGCTTTATTTCCCTTTCAGTTTCTGTTGCCGTCCGATATTTCATTGTAAGTTGTATCTGACGCTTGATACTTTATTTTAAAAGTTCCCTTTAATGTTATTGTAGACGTTGTGTCGATCGATTTTAAAATCTATATTCCAGCACTGATAAGAAACGAAAAATGAATAGAGAAAATACGAGATTCAAATTTAAAATGGCGTGATAATAAAACAGCTATTTAGAGAGAAAGGGACTGATTCTTTTATTTTCCGTCTCAGCCACCTTCCCTAAAATCTGACGAAATGTCGATACAATAGAATTATTTTAACCCATAAATGGTGGTCATCATTAATTGATGTTTCATTGGAGATCAGCGCATATCATCATTTCCGAATTTAATCTTTTCCAAGGATATCGGCATTATTCCGATGTGATTCGCTTTTCAATGTCTAATTGGCAGCTCTCAGATTCAAAAGGTTACGACATTTATTTTAATCAAAGGTGATAATGCTACTAAGACGCATCCGAAGCTACTGGGAGTGAAAGAGAATTTAGAAGAAACCGGAAACTCATTCCTAAAAAGGGAACAAGAGATAAAGCTCTACACCTGTTCAAAAACTAGGGAGGAGTGTGAGCCGAACGATAGGAGAAAATATCTACACCTATTTACTTGGATTCATGGTATTACGCCATTTCTTGGGGTATTTTTCTGCAAGCAAACAGGAAGCACAGCCCAAAGACGTCTGCATGTACACTTCTGAAGAAGAAAAATAAGTAAAAAAATTGTGACAACTTTGGTCCAAGAATACACAGTGGCGTTTCACAGAGAATGCTTCAAAGATTATTTACACTATTTGCAATATCCGGATTGTTTTTTGTTTGTTTGATTGTTTTCTTTACCACTGCTGTAGCCTGCTATTGAACTCACAACTCTTTGGGTCACGTCCCTGGATCTAAAGAACGTCTTTATCCACTGGGCCGAAACGTAGTGAATATGGTAATGAAGATAAGGATAATCGTTCGAATAATACAAATAATGTAAATAATCATAATACCTCATCTCAGAGATATAGACAGATAATGCTTCAAAGAATAGAATACTGCTGAAAATATTACATTTATGAATCAATCATTTGCATTATGCTCCATTTTTCTCCATTTCTATAATCTAAAAGTTTTGAACTACCATTTTATACCTTTTTATATAAATTAAATCGAAAAGAACAAAGTTCAAAAGTAGATGTTAAACAACGATTTCCTCACATTTTTGCTGATTTGGTGTGCACATTCGACCAATCGTTCCCATCAATTAAGGTCTAATTGCTCCTTGATCATGGCAAGATTTTTTTCTGTATATCCTCTCTCTCTCTCTCTCTCTCTCACACACACACACACACACACACACATTGTTAATAATCAATGCACACACAACACGTTAATACACACACACATATATATTTGGTTGTATGGATATGAGTTTGTAGCCTATTTCGTTTGATGATTGCAAAAGCGTGAAACCCAGGGTTACAAACTCATATCCATACAACCGAATATGTATGTGTGTGTGTGTGTTTGTGTATGTTTGTGTTGTGTGTGTGTGTCTGATTGTGCATGTTTGTGTTGTGTGTGTGTGTGTGTGTGTTTGTGTATGTTTGTGTTGTGTGTGTGTGTCTGATTGTGCATGTTTGTGTTGTGTGTGTTTGTGTGTGTGTGTGTGTGTGTGTGTGTGCCTGTTATAAAATTTATTGAAAAAGTGTTTAAAAAAGCATTTTCTGAAACGCGTTTTGTCATTTACGACATCATCGGACAAAAATGATATAAGATGTTACTGAAATTTTAAACTTTTAAATTTATTTTTTTAATTGTTCTAGTATATAAGCATTTATATATCATTTTCTCCCATATATATATATATATATATATATATATATATATATATATATATATATATATATTGAAAATAGGTTGCAAGAAATCATATTTTCAAAAGTTTTGTGAAATTCAACCGCCAATTTAAAAGTTTAAAATAAATTAAATTTTAGTAATAAAATTTCCTGGCTGAACACATCTTATATATTACGTAATGTCAGTCCTTCTATATGGAGGAGAATGCTGAACAATTTAAACATCGGTAAAGAAAAGACTTGAAGCAACTGAAATCTGGTTCTACAGAAGGATGCTGGGAATAACATGAACTGAACATGTGAGCCATAACGTAATTTTAAAGAAAATCTAAATCAAAAAGGACACTTATACTTAACATCAGAAAGAAACAGTGAAAATTTCTAGGCCACATATTGAGGAAAGTGGGCTTGGAAAATCTGATACTCACAAGACATAGTGAAGAATAGAGAGACGGAGGAAAAGAGCGCATAACCTACTTAACGAGCAATAAAAAGGTTGCAAATAGAGGAAAAAGCGCAATAAATATGAAACAATGAATGCGATCACTTGGGAATGAAAGCTGAATAGCTGCAAGACAAAGGTAGAGCGATAGATATCAATATATAATATCTCCCTATCTATGTAGATACCGAGGGAGAGAAACAGCCTAACTGTGCTGTAAGACCCCAGCTGTGACTTATACTGACACTATGTGGGGCAGATGTTAGTTACGGTTTCAGGGAGACTGGATATAATCTAGTGTAATCAACAGTTTGAACATGGCGAGAACGCACAAAACCTCAGTCTTGATGACTAGTACAAGCACTGACGGCTTCTGAATAGTTTAATCTGTCCAAGGGTGGGGCCAACCGATGTTACGATTTTTCCAACGAATCCGTCATCTCTCTGTCATATCGAACATGTTGAGATTCGAACCCGAGTTTTATGATCAGAAAGCGAATATATTATTCCCTCAGCCACCCGCCCATACATGCATTCATACACGAAGCTTTCTATCTACCCGAGTTTGTCGGGCCTAGTCAGTACATAGAAGCTGGATTGTAGAACAGGGTTTAGGAGAGATAGCAAAAAGTCAAAATTTACTAAGTGGTACAAAGGACGGGAAAATGTGGAGAGCGATAATCGACAATGTCCTGAAGGGAAACGGTACACAGAAGAATATATACATCTCTTTCCAATAAGGACAAAGCTATAAGAACAAATGTTCACACAATGAAATACAATCGTTTATGTATGAAGACATAGGCAGAATAATTCTCAACTGACGACTTCAAATACGCAAATAATGTACACCTATTTATACAGGGTTTTGAGGAGGCCAACATTCCCCAATTCGCATTGACTGGAATGTGCCATCGGGCAGTCGGTCAGTCATTGGTTGGCTTTTTTGGAACTTCCTTTTGAAATGTTTGTTGCTGTTTGTTATTGCCGATCTTTATTATCGCCAGCAACAGTGATTTCGATCGGTTTTGTTTGCATTTAGCCCGAAGATTCTGCAAGCCGCCCCGCCAAGAAAATAGCTAGCAATGAACAAACATGACCGCTAATATTCTGAAAAATTTCCAATGCCTCATCCTGAAAAACATGGCCTTTTTGCCAACTGCCAATACCTATCAATGACCTTCCTTCCATATAGCAAGTTACCACCCATTCTTGTTCTGTGCGTCTTTCTATATCATTATAACTTCCACTTATTTTTATCTCCTTCTTTTAGTTACTTTTCATCAAATTCTCTCTGTCTGCAAGCCATTCTCTCTCTCTCTCATTCCTTCTTGCTCTCTCTCTCTCTCGGAACAACTGTCAATAACTCGCTATGACGTCATTTTTTCCTCTTCCTTATAGAAAGCCACGACTTCTTTGTTCTCTTTGTCTATAATATTCGCCTTTCCGATTGCTTTCCTTTTACCTTTCACTTTCTTTAAAGCAAATTCGTTTTGTCTGTCTGTCTGTCAGTCAGTTTCTCTCCTCTCTTATTTACTCTCTCTCTCTCTCTCTCTCTCTATGCCTCACTATCTACATAGAGAGATAGTATATATTGATATCTATCACTCGACCTTTGTCTTTCAGTTATTCAGCTTTCATTCTCACGCTGTCATTGCTTCATATTTATTGCGCTTTTTCCTCTATTTGCAACATTTTTATTTCTGAACAAGTTCACACCCACCCTCCATATATATATATATATATATATATATATATATATATATATATATATATATATATAATATACACTAAACATACTCATCTCCTTCCCAGCAACCAATAAAACTGACAAAATTACCAAGGTGGGAATTCTGGGACTCATGAATCTTCCAGCCTCTATCTTAAAAACAACTTGAAAAAGGCCGTTTAACCAATACAAGGTCTAACCAAAATTAACGATAAAAAAAAAGAAACAAATCAAAATTACAGATAAAGTTCATTGTCTTCAGAAACAGTCATTTACTTCTGTAGCTTACTGCTCCTAACAAGCAGGGATTTTTTCTCTCTTGATGATGGTCATATGCTGGCTGAAACTAATCAAGGAACCTAATTGAAATAATTAAAAAAGTATTAATATACAAAAATGTGTGTCTGAAAATTTTCATTTTTCAATATTTTTTGTATTATTATTCAACACACACACACGCACGCAAATATATATATATATATATATATATATATATATATATATATATATATATATATATATAAAGGCAGGATGTGTGTGCATGAGTGTGTAACGAATGCACGGCCGCAATTTTACATGAACATGCTCCAAGTTAGCGGGAAGGCCAAGACCAACTTTGCATTTCCCAACTCCCATCGATAATGGAAATAATCGATTTTCTTATGCTTCTATGTAGTTTGCGACCATTTTGTACTGGCCAAAGTGAGAGCCTATAGCTGGCTGTCACGAATAGACAGGAAGATTCTATTGGCCAGCGTGAGAGCCAACAGCTGACTGACACGAGTGTTAACTAGCATGCTAGCATGCAAAAAAAAATCGATAGCTGCATTCGTCAGAAGTGGAAAAATTTGAATCTGCATGCCACTTTACTCCAATTGGCTCATCCGCTTGCTTAAACTCAACATTGATTCTGATTCCGCATAACTGGGCTGGGTGTGGAAAAGTATTTATTGTTAACATTCTTTTTTCATTCGGTTTTTCCAGTTACGAGTCCTTTTTAAAAGCTGATCGCTTTGTGTTCATTTTGCTTAGTTCTTTTTTCGTAACAGATTTAATGTTTAGTATAGAGCTTAGAAAAAATTTGCAGTGTGATATGGGCAAGAAGTAAGGCATGTAGCAACATCATCACGGCAAAGGGCACTCCTTTAAAGGCAAGGAAGGGCAAAAATATTTTAAGTCAAGTGATAGCGATTGCTGTATGAGTCGTACGATTTTTTAATCAAGCACGGGCAACGCCGGGCTATGCTGCTAGTATATATATATATATATATATATATATATATATATATATATATATACGACGCTTCCTCTTTCCTAAGGATACGCAGATTCGAATTCTACCAGAGAAAAAAAAAAGAGCCTTTACTCAAATATGTGTATCCATTTAAAAATTTACTTACGCGCAAATACTCTCTTGAAATGTATGAAACCAACTATTCTCCCCCTAGCTGTTGGTCAAATAGTAAGACGTGTATCATTAAACCGTTATTATCGCAAAAAATCTAACATTCTAAAAATTATTTTCTGGCTTTGAACAATCTGCAATAAACAGATATGTATGGGTAATATATATATATACATATGACCATATGCCCGCATACTCATTTTCGAGAAAAAAAATCATCTGCTAAGCAATCCCTGTTATAGGCACATTTGTCTTCCTCTCAGAAAGTGCCCAGCAGTGCTTTATACTGAACAATGTGGAGCAGACATTAGTTACAGTTTCAGGGGGACGGGATATAATCTAGTGTAATCAACCGTTTGAACATGGCGAGAAGGCACAAAACCTTAGTAACGATGATTGTGATATCATGTTAGTACAAACAGATTCCGAATAGTTTTATCTGCCCAAGGCTATGGATTTTGCAAAAGTCTCCGTACACTGAATTCATCAATCCGTGTAATGAAGAAGTCATCTCATTGACAAATCGACCACGGTGTGATTCGATCCCGAGTTTCATGATCGGAAAGCGAATATATTATCCACTCGGACACGGGACCCATACATGCATTCATACATGAAGTTTTCTGCCTACCCGAGTTTGTCGAGCCTCGTCAGTACCTAGAAGCTGGTCAGTACCTTGAATGGCTACCGCTTGGAAAGGCCAAATGCTGGATCTTTGTGTGTGTGGGTGATATAATGGGTAACGACTCGGAATTGTTTATCGAAGAACGGAGTTCCAATTCCAGTTGGGTTCTTTATATTCAGTTACGTGCAAACATACTTGGGAAAGGTATAAGACCACATTTTCTCCCCGTCTATGGGTTAATTAGGATGACTTGTATCACTAAATCATTATTGTATTTTTTTAAGCATTTCACCCTAAGCAAGGCGAGAGTGCCACTAACACGTACGGTATTACAGAGAGTGAAAGTAAAATTAAAGTGGTATGTTTGAGGAAAAAATAAAGAGAAGGCTATGGATCAAACCAAGGCATCAGAAGATATCGATTGATATTACATTCAAATTTTTGAAGA